ATTCGATCCGTGGATATAATGCCAAGTGTCTTAAAACTAGAGAGAATCTCTATTTTGGTTCCATTTAAAACAATATCACTAGTTATATAATCATTCTTACTTTTTGGGCGAAATAAAATTGCTTTTGTTTTGTTATCATTTATTTTTAAAGCATTACATTGACTCCAAGTAGCGAGGTCTTTCAACGTTTGATTTGCCTTTATTGCTAGTTCCTGACAGCAGTTACCGGTAAAAAATAAACTTGTATCATCAGCGTAAATTACATATTTAACGCTTTTATTAATATTCACAATATCGTTAACATATAAATTAAAAAGGAAGGGACCTAATATGCTTCCTTGTGGAAAGCCAGATAGAATGGGTTTAATATCAGATGAATAACCATTTATATGAACGTACTGTTTACGATGTGCGAGATAAGATGTTATGAGAGTTGATGCATGTCCACGAAATCCATACATTTGTAATTTTTTTAGTGGCAGACTGTGATTTAAGTGATCGAATGCTTTGCTAAAATCAATAAAAATACCAAGAGTCATTTTTTTTTTCTTCAAAGCTTTTCAAGATGTATTCTTTTTGCTCCAGAAGTGCCAATTCTGTGGAACGGTGTTTGCGAAACCCAAACTGTGATGGAGTGATTAAACCGTGTTTATCTGCGAAATGTACCATACGCGAAAGTAGAATTTTTTCGAGGCCTTTTGAAAACACTGATAAAATTGAGATTGGCCTGTAGTTACCTACATCATTCTTGTCACCTTTTTTATAAAGAACGCTAACTTTCGCAATCTGCATTTTTTGGGGAAATACCCCATTGTACAAGCACAAATTAAAGATATACGTCAAACAGGGCGATATGAGATCTAAAACGTATTTTATCGGACCTATTTGTAACTCTTCAGCGTCGCAGCTACTACTATTCTTTAGTGATAAAAATGCTTGTGTCACCTGATTATCAGTTACTGGCTGAAGAAAGATGGAGCTACTACTTCTGTGTTCGACATACGCGCAAGCATTTGTATCGGGATCATCTCTTGATAGGTTTACAACATAATCATTGAAAGCGTTTGCTAGTGCTTCATCCGTTAGGTCCGTATCATTCAGGCGTATTTTTTGGATATGTTTTATGTTATGTGAACGATTTAGAACATTGGTAAGCTTTCTCCATGTGACGTCTGTCCTCATTGATGACGATATAAAGTAGTTACTAAAGTACCTTGCTCTAGCTGTTTTTAGTTCCTTAGTTCAGGTTCAGGTTTAGTTCAGGGAGGTATGGGCTGGGCATCGTTCCAAGTTAGAGAGGCGATCTGTGAGTTGAAATCCGTACAATGGCTTGACTCAAAGGAGCATGCACGATGGGCGAGAAAGGTATATAAGCACCTCTATGTGAAAAGTCTGAAGACTAGATGGACAAACCGAACCCGAAAACTGAAATTCAAATACCAGCAGTCAAGTGCTGGGGCAGCGCAGACTACCTCCGTAAAAAAGGAAGTAAAAAGAGCCGAGAGAAAAATGTGAGAGGAAAGAATGCAGGGGATGGAAGCAGGAAATAAGGGAGGAACATCGGTATGATAATTCACGGGGGAGCTCGTTGTTATTTGAGGCCGGAACCGGAGTATTGAGGACTAGGACAGATAGGACAAAGTATGAGAAAATGTATATCCGGTGTGCTGTATGCCAAGGGGAACATTTGGTTTTGAAGTGCACAGGGCTTGCTCGCGCCCTCTCCCAGAGGGGGCGACGGATTTAGCGGGGGCGCTGATGTGCGCAGACGAGAATAGAAGAATGAAGATAATTACATTGTAATAACGAAGAGGAGATTAGAAGACTGTTGGAAATTATCTATGAATAATTTAATGACGTACAACTAACTGACACAGCTGAGAACAGGCGGGACACAAATATTGGAACTCCCTCCCGCATGGCCCCGGCCCAAAGTCTCCACCCTGTCTACCAGTGGGCCCGGTGCTGGGTAACACCGACTAGGTTTGACCCACAGAGTTATTGCAATAAACGCTAGAGGTCAGGGGGCGCTAGTGTGCTGTTGCATTTTGAAGCAGACAGCAAGCAGCCTAAATTTGACTTCCAGTAATGCATTCCTACGGGAAAACACAAATGTGGTTTCTCTTCGCGCTCCATTATATGAGCAAATTCTGCTTAGTGTTGTGACAGAATAAGAAGTTTTGGACGTTTTACAATCAGATGTACAAAAATATGTGTCCGTTAAAGCGTTTTTCTTTGAAATTCGTGGCGTTGAAAACTGCGCTAAAATAGCCCATTGCCTATGTATAATACGTGTTGACGTTTGCTATTCTAGGCACGTATGAAGCACGCAGAGTGAATCAGCTTGACAAAACACCAAAAGGATGCTAATATATGCCAAATCAAACAACCAAAACAGACAACAAGAACGGAGTTATGGAACGAAGAACACGCACTGGATAAGTAACAAGTGCATTAGTAAGAAACTGTGTTTCCGTCATCTGGATGCTATTACTATAGATTGAATAAAACCTACGCACTTTTTAATTGTTCTTTTAGAGCGCAACTCTTACCGCTCATTCACACTGGAAGCGGATCCGCGTTCGCAAAGCGGTTGCGAACGCGCGCGCACTTGATGTCATCGAGTGCGCGTGCAATTGTACTGGATCTTTATACAACCGCGTTCGCAACCGCTCTGCGAACGCGGATCCGCTTCCAGTGTGAATGAGCGGTTAGGGCCCCCGGTTGTGGGTTGAGCAGCGTCACCTTCGGCGCCGACGTCGGCGTAACCGAGCGTTGCATTTTGGGACGTGTGACGTCACACGTTACGTCACGAGGATTACCCTCACGAAGGAAACACCCACGAGGGTTATCGGCACGAGGGCGCCCTTACGGGGGAAACCCTCAAAAGGGTTATCCTCACGAGAGTAACCCTCACGGGTAAGTCACGTTACTCTTACGGGAGAGAATTGGGCAACCCTTGTGAGGGTTACTCTCTCGAGGGTAACCCCCGTGAGGGTTACACCAGTAAAGGTTACCCTCATGAGGGTTACCCCCGTGAGGGTTACCCCCGTGAGAGTTACCCTCACGAGGGTTACTCTCGTGAAAGTAACTTTCACGGGGGTAACCCTCCTGAGGGTTACCCTTACGAGGGTAACCCGTGTAACCCCTGTGAGGGTATACCCTCACCCCATGAGGGTAACCTTTACGGGGGTAACCCTCACGGGCGTTACGCTCACGTGGGTAACCCTCACGGGGGTTACCCTCACAGAAGTAACCCTCACGAGGGTTACCCTCTCGAAGATTACTATCACGACGGTAACACTCACGAAAATTACCCTTACGAGGGTAATCCTCACGAGGGTAGCCCCGTGAGGGTTACCCCCTGAGGGTAAAAATAGTACATCTCTCTACTTGGATTAAAATTAGCACAATGTTTTATTTTGACGAAAAATAGTACGCACTCACGAAAATTACCCATACAAGGGTAACCTTTACAAGGTAGCCCCCGTGAGGATTACCCCCGTGAGGGTAACCCTTAAAAGGGTTATCTTCGTGAGGGTCACGAGGGTAACGTCAAAACGTTACCCTCGTGACGCCACATGTGTCGTCATTATGGGAAACACGGGACGTCACGTGACGTATGACGTCAGCGGGTCTAACATTGTCAATATTTCCGCTAAATTTAGCGGGGAAGGAGGAGGCGCATACCCTTCCCCCGTACCCTCCCTACTCCTCCTCAAGAGCTGCGTTCCAATTCGTCGTTGCAGAGAATTGTAAACTGTTTTCATGTTTTTTGCTTGAATTGATAGCTTGTATTGACATATGATGCTGTACAACATAGACCTGGGCCTTAATTTGTTCTAAATTAAACATCGCTCAGGTAGTAAAAAAAAAGCTATTAACTAAATAAATTACACTTTTATAATGCGAATAAAGCTACATCGCACCCGTTACGAGTAAAGAAACTACGCTGATTTCTATTATTCCCTGGCGAAGAGAAAAATGTCACGTACGCTTACCCATAGGAATGCACAGGAAGACTGCAAAAGTACTGCTTTCTGTCTGCTTCAATCTGCAACCGGAAGTCCCGTAGATATTAGCGCCAGCTGAGCCTCTAGCGTTTATTGTAATACGTAACGCTATGGTTTGACCAGAGGAAAATTGGCGACTCCCTCGCCGGGTGGAAACGGCTGTGGGTGATGTTGCTAGTTTTTTGTTTTTTTTCCCGATCCCTCAAAGGTCATCCTGGTGATATCCCACACTGCCGGGCAGAAGGGAAGCAAGTTGGCCAAGAAGGGCGAAGGCAGAAATCATACTTTTGGTTTTTAGTTTCTAGGCTAGGTGGCGCAAGCTACCGCCTGATATAAAGGGTGCAGCCGTTAGCATCCATCCATCCATCCGGCTTGAAAGTTCGGCTGGCCACTATGATCAGGCAATGTGCTGCCATTATTTAGTGTGCCAAAAATAATCCCTGGAGAAGGGGAACAAGAGGAACAATGGACAAACACAAATCTTTAGACACCTAGGTGCTTGGATGAAACAGAGCGGATATACACTCACAGGCACACAAGAAGGAAACAGACTCGCCGCAGTGTTCCCTTCTTAACTGACAACAACTGGACTGGACAACAACGGCCTTCTTTCTGCCTCCCAGCATGGTTTTAGGCCCAATCGAAGCTGTGAGTCAGCTCTCGCTACTATTGTTCACCACATAAGCAATAACCTGGATAACCGTTCCCCAACTGATATCATTCAACTAGACCTGTGCAACGCCTTTGATTCCCTCGACCACTCTATCCTCCTCCAGAAAATCGCTCAATCCGGTATTCGTGGCCCCCTGCTGCTCTGGCTGAGCCTCTTTCTTATCGGTCGCTCCCACCGTGTATTGTTCCATGGGAGGGCCTCCGATGAGTTCGCTGTCACCTCAGGGGTACCCCAAGGCTCAGTACTGGGGCCCACATTATTCCTCTTGTATGTGAACGACATGCCTTCATCGCAAGAGTGTCTGCTGGTGCAATATGCAGACGACACCACCATTCTGGCCCCAGCAGACGTACCCTCCTCCACGCCGGGTGTCCAGAGTCTCCTGGACCAGATTGACTGCTGGGCAAGAACGAACTGCCTCTCAATTAGCTTCCACGAAAGTGCTGCAATGCGAGTTTCCAAAAGCCGTTGCACCGTTCCTCCTGCATACTACTTGTCAGGCTCTCCCATTCCTAGAGTTCAGTCTCTCCCAATCCTTGGGGTTGTGTTCAGTTCAACTCTGGACTTCTCACCTCAGATTGCAGAGCTTCTTCGTGGAGGTGTTCCTCCCGCGTGGGACTGTTCTGCTTGCTTGTGTGTTCTGCCCACCCAATCGCCGCGAAGAATCGTACTCACTCTTGGACGCTTCGCTCTCTCGCGTGAGATTCGAGTGCTACAAGGATGTCTTCCTCCTTGGCGACTTCAACTCCCACATTGACTGGTGGAGCCGCCAAGAACCTTATCCTAGCGACCTCACCGATGATATCCTCCTTGACGTCACATCTGCTGTGGGCCTCCAACAAGTGTGCCGCTTTGCCACCTACCAAGCCCAGCTTGCGCAGGGCCGTGCCTCATCATTTCTCGATCTGGGTTTTACCACAGACATCACTCGGATGCTCTCCTGTGACGTGTATCCTGGCCTGTCCGGGAGCGACCACCAAGCAATAGAGGTTGAGTATGCCACTTGTCTCCCTCTGAAAGGCCGGTTCGCGCGGACTATGTGGAACTTTTATCGGACCGACCATGCCCATATGGCTAAGTTAGCACATCTTGCACCCTGGTGTCTTACCACTGGGGACGATTGCGCTGACAACTACGATCTCTGGTGCGACTTTGTTGGCGCCATCCAGAAAGAAAGCGTGCCCTGCTCGCGTAGTTCCACACGAAGGAAGAGGTCCCCTTGGATCACCCCCGAAATCAGGAAAATGGCTGGCCAGAAACGAGCCCTCTTCAAACGTGCCGCTCGTGCACAATGCCAGATTTCACTTCAGAGGGCTAAAGATTTGCAGCGCTCAATCAAGTCTTCCATCTCTCGTGCTCACAGTGCTTACGCCCACACCATCTCTATGAAGGCAAAAAAGGACCCTAAGCTGTTCTGGCAGTATTTCAATGGGCTTCAGTCTAGCCGACAGCGTCCCTGTTTCTCCAGAGACCATCACCCCATCACGTCCCCCAGGGACATAGCCCAACTCTTCGCTTCACGGTTCTCCTCTGCTTTCAGCCACAACTCCTCTACTCCAGATCCCGACCTTCTTGTGCAGACTATCGAAGCTTCCACCTCCCAACCTGTAACCTGCCTTCCAAATTTGTGCTTGTCTCTCGACGACCTGCATGAAGCTGCCCGACTGATCCGGCCCTCCCACTGTGCTGGGCCTGACCTGCTCGCCCCTACTTTCAAGTCCCTATTCCCTTACCTATCTTTCTCCTTGCTCTCACTTTTCCAATCCTTTCTCGACCACTCCTACGTGCCCTCCGCGTGGAAGAAGGCCCTTGTGACACCAGTTCACAAGGGTAAAGGGAAACCTCTCAACGACCCTTCCAGCTACAGGCCCATCTCTATTACTTCTATCCTCTGCCGCACTTTCGAACGCACCATCAACCAGCACCTTCTTCGCTTTCGGGACAACAACGGCCTTCTTTCTGCCTCCCAGCATGGTTTTAGGCCCAATCGAAGCTGTGAGTCAGCTCTCGCTACTATTGTTCACCACATAGGCAATAACCTGGATAACCTTTCCCCAAGTGATATCATTCAACTAGACCTGTGCAACGCCTTTGATTCCCTCGACCACTGTATCCTCCTCCAGAAAATCGCTCAATCCGGTATGTATTCGTGGCCCCCTGCTACTCTGGCTGAGCCGCTTTCTTATCGGTCGCTCCCACCGTGTATTGTTCCATGGGAAGGCCTCCGATGAGTTCGCTGTCACCTCAGGGGTACCCCAAGGCTCAGTACTGGGGCCCGCATTATTCCTCTTGTATGTGAACGACATGCCTTCATCGCAAGAGTGTCTGCTGGTGCAATATGCAGACGACACCACCATTCTGGCCCCAGCAGACGTACCCTCCTCCACGCCGGGTGTCCAGAGACTCCTGGACCAGATTGACTGCTGGGCAAGAACGAACTGCCTCTCAATTAGCTTCCACAAAAGTGCTGCAATGCGAGTCTCCAACAGCCGTTCCACCGTTCCTCCTGCATACTACTTGTCAGGCTCTCCCATCCCTAGTGTTCAGTCTCTCCCAATCCTTGGGGTTGTGTTCATTTCAACTCTGGACTTCTCACCTCAGATTGCAGAGACTGTGTCCAGGGCCCGGCGGACTCTTGGCTTTGTCACACGTGTCTCAAGGAACTGGAGACATGAAACTTTCCGCGCTCTCTACACTGCCTTAGTCCTGCCTCGTCTGGAATACTGCTGCTCCGTGTGGGGACCCTTCCAGGCTCACCTCATCGACAGGCTGGAGGGCGTGCAGCGCCGGGCTACTCGAACACTTCATTCTCGGATGTTGGGCCGGCAAGTTCCTGTGCCGCCATATGAAGCTCGCCTTAGGGCCCTTGGGTGGCAAAGCCTCTACCACCGCCGGACAGTGGCTCGGGTTGGGCTCCTTTGTAGGTTGCTCGACGGGTCCATGAGTGATACCCACCTCCACTCATGCATCAGGATCGGGAAGCGATCCGGGCAGCCAGAACTCCTGCACGCCCGAACAGTGCGCCACTCGCACTCCGTACTCCCCGCCGCCCTCAGAGACTTTCTTGCGGCCCCCCTGTCGATTCGATCTCCACTCCCCAACAACCGTGACGAGTCCGCTGCCTTGCGCCGTGCATTTTCGCGGTCAAAGCACCTAAACTGATTCTACGCCATGATCAGTGTTCGGTTTCATTTTGTTTTTATTTGTTCTCTGTTATTGTTGTTTGTTTTGTTATTTCATGCCCCGGGTGGTTGGCTGACAGGCACTCTAGTGTACGGGCTCTCGCCTTTCTGTCATCGCCTCGCAAGCCACCCGGGGTTACATCGCTCTTGCAAATAAAGATTATTATTATTATTATTATTAACTGTGCGCCTGTGAGTTTGACTGTATAGATTGACATTCCAAATTGGTACACTACGGATAAAGTAAATGACAACCACGTCACCCGCAAGACGAGCGACCAAAACCGAAGGCGCAGTTCAAGTTTGTGACTGAAAGTTACGTGTTGGCACCTTCGCACGAAACGGCGACTTTGTTTTCGCTGCTTCGTTCTTACATCGGCGATTGAGTAGGTTGTCGCATTTCTGTTCGCGACGCTGTCCACATCGGCGATGGAGTCGTTTGTCGCGTCATCGTTGGCGATGCGGTCTACATCAACGATTGAGTCGCTTGTCACGCCATCGCTGCCGACGTTGCCCGCCATCGCGTCCCTTATCGCGTCTTCGGCAGCAGCAGTAGCGAACGTTTGCTTCGGCGGTAGCGGCAGTCTTCGACACGACGTTCTCTCGTTTAAGGCCTTTCGGCAAAGTTGAAAGCAAATACTGTTAACTTTATTTTCGCGGCCTCGATATTTCGCACATTTTACGAAGTGTGGGTTTCGGGAATATTTATTTATTTTACCCTCAGGGCACAAGGCATTACAGAGGGGAGTGGGAACAATAGTAATAAGAATACAAACGAGACAAAATATAAAATACTTAAAGAACAAAGAACACGAAACTGGCAATAGATGTGCAAAAAAAGTGCGTGGTCATTAATTGACGTGAGCGATGCGGCTAAGCGGTTCCAGTCTTCGGAAGTTTTGGGAATAAAAGAGTCATAATAAACGTTAGACTGGCAAAATGGGACACCTACTTTGTCACGATGATCAAGGCGTGCTGAAACAAAGTAAGGGGGGGGGGGGGGGCTGGATGATTCATTGATTTAAGCTAAGAAATGTGGTGATAGATATTATTAAAAGACAAATACGAGAGACTTTGCGACGATGTGTGAGGCTTGGGAGTAAGAAAACTATCTTTCAATGATGTTGCGCTCGCGGTTCGGTTATAATTGGCCATTATGAAGCATGCAGCTCTATTCTGAATACCTTCAAGTGAATCAACGAGGTAAAGGGTAGAGGGATTCCAAATGGAAGCTGCATACTCTAGCTTGGACCTAACTGGTGTTTTCTAAATGATGGGCAGAATATCTCGCGATTTGGAGGGCTACGCTTACGACAGGATAATTTAGTTCCGTGATCTGTTTTGCCGATATTTCTCAAATCCGTGAAGAAAAGGTCCTCGCGAAAATTAAGTCGTTTACAGTGTACTTAGAGCAACTTGTTGCATCAAGAAGCGGAGGCCAGTAGCCGGTATAGTGCCCGAAAAGCGTCTTTCCAGATGCGTTTTTTTATTACTGTGTAAGCAGAAAGGCGTGAAAAAATAATTTCCCAAACAGGACTAGATTTCTTTTTTTTTTTTTTTGCTGCAAAAATACAGCTGTCAACAAAATATGCATCAATGCAACCTAAAAATCGTTATAAAACGTCCGGAAGAAAACAGAACAACACGAAAAATGCCGCTTCTTGATGCAAAAGGAATTGAATGACGAAGCAGGGTGAGCTTGGCGGTACGGACGCTCGTGCAAAGGTTAGGGAGGTGCTGTTAAGATAAAACGGGGAAAGCTGCATTGCCATTGTTGAAAACGGAGCAGGCTTCATTTACATGAATACGGGCGTGGTGGCTCATTGTTCTACTGTTCTCGTACTTGCGGCCTACCAACTTCAAAAGCTTCCTCACAGCACACAACTCCCCCCGCTTTTTTTTTTTCTTCTTTTTTAATTTGCGGATATATTTCCACATAGGGAGCAGAGATAAAGGCGTAATGCCTGACAGAGCCTCTGCCCCCTACAGTTCAGCATAATATATGGAAAAAAAATGCATGCGGTACAGCATAAAATAAAACTAGACAAAAACAATCAGAAAGTATCAAGAAACTTCAACAACCTATGGCCATGAATAATCTTCGCTAACGGCAGCAAATAATATTAAACGCATAAAATGAAAATAATACTAATAACAACAGCCCCCCCCCCCCCAATATGTCATAAAAACAAAATTCACTTTTATATTTTCAGTTATGCAATAAAAATTTCAGATAGTACCATTCAAATAGTCACAATAGTGTGACACTTCAAATAAACTGTCATGAAGCTAAAAAAAAAAAAAAAAAATCTAATATCAGAAAATTATCTAAAAAAGCAGCAAAAGCTTTTTAACATTTACTAATGTCAAAAACAACATTAGGCTTCGAAGTGCGTATCAAAAGTATAAGAGGCCTCAAGTTGATGAAAAAGCAATACCACTTCCCACCAGGAATCTTCTGCATTCATTTTTGAATTTATAAAAAGGTTTGTTAAAGTTTATATGTATATCTTTTCTATTTAAAGTTTTCGTTACCTGAAAGGTTATTGTTAGCCGGCCATAGTTCATCCTTATTAGCCCCGAGAGGAGCCCCCTTACGGCGAACCGGGGTGACGTCACGGCAAGGAGAGAATTTTTCCCCGACTGGCCCCGCTCGCCCTGTGGAGGCTGTGACGACGCTAGCTGTCGGCGCGCTCGTTTCTATTTAATTTTTCTTTGGCGTGTTTTTCGTAGGAAGTGTAAATTTTTACATGTGCCTTTGTTGACGTATGGCCTGTAGCTACAAGCGGAACTTCAACCAACATTTTAAGCATGGTTGACAGGGCAGGCAACGCATAAATCGCAGCTGGTATATGAAAATAAAGAAATATGGCCACGATTCTAAGAGCATCACTATAGATTTACATCTCGCACAATAAATGCTGCTGATGGTCTGAATGAATTGGCAGGTTATGTATACTATTTTTTTTTGTATCTGTTTTTAAACAAGATCGCCGAAGCAGAAAAGCTGCATGCTGCTCGAGCAACATGCTACATACAGTATGGACCATGGGGAGAGAATCACAAGTAAGACAGCCCAAGTGCAGGGGCAAAGTAAAAAAACAAGGAACATTTATTATATGCATTGCTCGCATTTGACCTTTGCTGGATTCGGATAGTATTTCAATGGACTACACGGGTGGTATCTGTGGACTTGTTTATATCAACCCTCAAGTAATATATAACAAACGTAAGCGAAGGTGTCTAGCTCGTTATTAGTCCCTTTAGCCCTAAAATTGAGATTTTACTTAAATCAAATTGTTCTGAAGCTAAAATACCTGAAGCTTTTCTCACGCAGACTGTCGCCCTTCACAGGTTCCACATTTTCTGCTACCAGTGCTGCATCTAACACTGGACAGACGTTCGAATGCTTGCTTTTACTCCTGTTTTCCTCTGTTGTCAGAGAGTCCAGCTGTAGGGAGTTTGGAGGCTGAGGAAGCTTTTGGGGACCTACAGCAGTGTCTCTTTTCATTGGAAATTTTCCGAATACCCAAGGCTGGAATAAAAATGCCAGGAAAAAGTATAAACATTCCAAATTACGGCACTATTGCTGTGCATATTTTGGGCAGTTCAATACATATCATACAGGCAACTGGGGGCAATTCGGCCGTTTTTGCTGCTACCATACAAACTAATTTCCAGTAATTGTGCATCTTTTAAGTCTAAGAAATATGTTTGCATACGTTAATTCACGAAGAAGCTACATTTATGTAAACCAACCCTGTTCCACGAGCACTTCAAAGATAATCAGACACAAGGCCTTTGAAACATCTGCGAACCAGCGCATGCAGGGTGGCAGCGCGAAGTCGGGGTCGCGAGCTAATTTGCCGACCACCCAAAGGCCCATGATATAAATGCCACTTCAAATGCCTTGAAAGCGGGATGTAATATCGTCCTAAATCATGAACATGCAAGGAACAGAATTCCAGCGTCTGAAACCCTTGCGCCACCGCTTCACCGACCCCTCGCAAAATTGCCTTGTGTCGTGTGGACGGACGGGGAGGTTCATA